ATTATGCTAAGTGAAATAAGTCAGAGAAAGACAAATAGTGTATGGTCTCACTTATATGAGGAATATTAAAAAAACAAACCAAACATATAGAAAAAGAAATCATATTTGTGGTTACCAGAGGTGAAGGGTTTGGAGAAGAATTACATCAAGTTGGTCAAAAGGTACAATCTTCTGGTTATAAAATAACTAGGGATATAATGTAGAACATGGTAACTATAGTTAACATTGCTTTATGATATATTTGAAAGTTGTTGAGAGTAGATCCTAAGAGTTGTTCTCATCACAAGAAAAAACACATTTTTTCTTTTTAAAAATGGTTTCCTTTGAATCTTTGGAATTTTATGCATTTGTAACCTTATCTTAGAAGGATCTGGGGCTTCTCTGACTGCAAAAGGCATCCATTATAGACATGTCAGGGACCCCAACTGCAGATCCTGTCAAGTTATCTCTGGGAGAAGACAGGCATGCTCCTCTGCTAGAAGCTTTCCTTCCAGTCACCTGAATGCTCAATACCTTAATCCGTCAGGTCTCCATTCAAGTGTCACCTTACCAGAGAGGGCTCACCTGACCACCTATGTAAAATTACTCTGCCCAAGTCATCGCTCCACTTTATTTTTGTCCTTGCACCTGCTCTGCCCCCCACCCCCAACCTCTTATAATGACCCTGCCCCTCTCACTAGACCAAAGCTCACTAACATGAAGAGAGGGCAAGGGCCTTTCATTCACTGCTACTGAGAACAGTAACAAGCACATGCAGACTTGATTAATACTGATCACATGTATACATCTTCTTTAACAGCCCAGTGTTAAAAGTTAAAAGAATGAGATAGCTTTTGAAATTTCTTAATGGGATAAAAATGCTCTATATATGAGCAATTGCCATTGAAGTTAAAAAAAAAAAAATACAATCTACCTCAGCAAGTTCACCTTGAGGATGTTTATCCTATAAATATTCTTGCACTTGAGCACAGAGACCCACATACAGTGATGATCACTGTGCTACTACTGTATGTCAGAATGAATGCTAGAAACAAACAAAGTCCATTCATAGAGATCTGGGTACACTGGTCTTGCATACTATATAAGTAACTAGAATCATACATGAAATACTGAAGCAGTTCTACATGCATCAATATGAAAGCACTGCCAAATTAATAACAACAGCGGCTAACATTTGTGCCACAATGCTATAAGCACTTACATAAATTCTATTTTAAACCTTCCAATCATCCATTTTACAGATGAGGGAACTGATGATACCAGAGAGGCCAAATCACTTCCCAAGATCACAAAGCCAGAAAATGACAGGATTGTAATATACAGCCAGATAAGCTGGCACCCTTACACCCTTAACCACCAAGTTACACTGCCTAAACAGTGGATAACAAGATTATATATAGTTATAGTTATATAGTTATATTTAAAGGCAGGTAGGGGGGGGAAGACTTTAAATATCTACTAGAGGCCCAGTGAACAAATTCGTGCATGGCAGTGGGGGAGGATGGGCCCATGGGAGGTTGGCTGGCAGGGGGGAGGAATGGGGGAGGGACCATGCGAGATTGGCCACTGGTCCTGAGGAGGGAGCCAACCCTCGGCCCCCCTGGGAAAGGGGCCACTTTTGCCGCCACCCCCCATCCCAGCCTGGACCCAAAGGCCCCGGAGGGGTAGGGAGAGGAGGCAACAGTTGCTGGACCAGGCACAGAAGGGATGGATGCTGGATGCCGCCTCAGCCCTTGGCATCCCACCACTGCACACAGTTCCCCGCCTCCCATCCTCCTCCTTCCCTCACCACCCCCGCATGGGGGGCGGGAGATCCCCAAGGAAGGGAGAGGACAGGTGTGAGACAAATCCTGTGTGGAGGCCTGACATTCAATAAATCACAGGGAGGGAGCCGCTCTGCTATGCACAAAAGCCTGTCCCAGAAGCAGGTCTCCACAAATGGTTTAGCACTGGGGGCGATGCGAGAGGAAGGGGCCACGGGAGCACACTGACTACCAGGGGGCAGCTCCTGCATTGAGCATCTGCCCTCTGGTGGTCACAGAGAGACTGGTCAACCAGTCATTCCAGTAATTAGGTCATAACAGTCACTTAAGCTTTTATATAGATAGATATGCTCTTATGTGCATAGACTTTGTAAAAAAAAACATAAAGACTAATTACAGAGACACATCTGAGGGCAAGTGGGGGGATTGGTGGGATTGAGATTCTATTACTGCATACTTTTGCACCATCCCGATTCTTACACGTATTACATTGTGCAAATATTTATTGAGTCACTAAATTTTAAGTCTGGGATGGACCTCATCATTTTATTGGAAGGGGTGTAAACTGAGTCACCGACTTGCCTGAGGCCACCCAAGTAGGAAGGAGAAGCCCTAAGGCAGTTCCAATGCTCCAGACTCCTAGCCCTGGTGGGTTCTGCTGCCTTCTCTATTCTCTATTTCCACCATAGCTGACTCAGCTGTCACAACTGGAGACTTTTAAAACGTCCAATTATACAGAATTGGGGAGAAAATTATGATTTGGAATTCAAGTGTTGACATTTGAAAAATACCAACTCCCTTTCTCTGCAAGTACTTTAGCATGTTACTAAGGCTTTCTCTGCCTGTTTTTGGAAAGGTTATTTTCAGAACATTCCACTTAAACCTGGAGTTGCAGGGTTCTCTACTGTTTCTGGGAGCTGACACCACAATTTACATTAAACAAATGTTTTGAAAATTAGCTGTTCACAGTTCCAATTTCAGCTTCCCCCAGGGTTTAATGTTAGCCAAATATTCGTACAGTAAGCAGACAATGTGTTTTATTGTATGGAAGAAAAACAGACCACCATAACAGATTTCCTGCTTTTGTAATCAAGGGAAAAGTGGAGTGTTCTAGTGATTATTGGCATATGGTTATTCGAAACACTGAGTTCCAAATATAGCTACTAGGAGCTAAAGACACACACACACAGCTATATTTCCAAAAAGAAAGAAAAAACCTTCTTAGTGTTTGGTCAATTGGAAAGTTCAGAAAGTCATTGGCAAAACTACCAGGAAGGAATCAGAGTGACAGATAGCAAGGTTCAGCCCACTGCTGCCAGACACACTGGAATCAGAGAGGCTCAAACATCAAGGACCAACAGACCTGCAGGAACAAGGGCCATGGCTCTGGCCACAGCCTGAGGATGGCCAGGCTGAGGATGTAGTTCTGCCCTGCTGGTCCCAGCTCCCTGGGGCCCATGATCATGAGATGATGGATTTGGCAGTTTTGTCTTTACACAGCCCTGGCCAGTGTGGCTCAGTTGGTTGGAACATGGTTCCATACATCAAAAGGTTGCAGGTCTCATTCCCAGTTAGGGCACTTTCCTCGGTTGTGGGTTCGATCCCCGGTTGGGGTACATATAGAAGGCAACCAATCGATGTTATCTCTCACATCCATGTTTCTTTCTCTTTCTCTTTCTCTCTCTCTTCCATCTCTCCCAAATCAATAAGCATATCCTTGGGTGATGATTTTAAAAATAATTAATCAATTAATAATTAATTAAAAAGGGTTGCACAGGTGCTTTTCTCCTCTTTCCCATCTTGCTCTACCTACCCCATCCCCCCAAAACCTCATCTTGGCCCAGCTGCAAATGTGAAAGGGGGAAAAGAAAATGTTCAATCTGCTAAATTTATGGTTAGCAGGAATGAGAATGAAGCATTGTGTGAATTCCCCCCTGACTCTAAGCCTTCTCCAGGACTTGTGAGCTAGGTGCAGTGCAGCGTCTGGAAATAAACTTACAGGATGCTCTTCAATACTAGGTTTCTCTCTCAAAGAGCTGGGAGCAATTCAGAACCGGGTGGGGTAAGGTGGGAGTGGGAGGGATGGAGTGGGTGGTCTGTTAGAAAGAGGAATTTAGATTCTGATGTCTTCAGGAAAGCATTCGTTTGCACCCAGAAGGAGATACTAAAAATACAGCCTTTTCACCGCAACTACATAAAGACTGTGGCTGGGAGGTTAGAGGTCAGGAAGGTGCCCCATGTGGTGAGAGCCAATCTGTCTGTGGCACAGACAGGCCCGGGGCCTGATCTTTGGACAGGTCAGAGGAGGGGATATGCAGGATTGTGGCTCTGGGTCAGGGCCCCTGGAGCCCATCCTAGGAGGTGACCTCACCATCACTCTGGTGAGAAGTGTGGGCTCAGTAGGAAAAATGTCCTTACCCAAGAGTCATTTCTAAAGAGTTCTTATTGAGGATCTTACAAAACAGGTAGGCCACCTTCTGCCAGAGGTATTCCCTCCAGTGTGGCTGGAGAAGGATGACTCCTGGGGGCACTGCAGGGCAGCACAGCCTTAAAATTCCACTTATTTAAGATAGAGCTTTAACAGCACTGCGCCTTATTTATTGGTTCTCAAACCAACTGTGACAACTGCTGAGAGGCAGGGCCCAGTGACAAAGGAACACACTAATGATCATTTACCACAAAATGATCAGCATCCAGGACCTAGTCTCAGTCCAAGTTTGATCTAGCAGGAGGGCCTGAACAACGTGTTATTATTAACGAGGCAGTCATTCTAAAAAGCAAACTGTCTGGACTGTCCCTGCTGGAACATACTCAGAGTAGGACAAGTAGCCATGGCAATGCAACATCAGTTCTGAGATTGCAGGAGCGAATGGGCAGCTGGCACCTCGGGCAGGACTCATTGGTAAGCTGTCTAAGCAGCAGGAAGATCCTGTACACACAGGTCACTTCCCACAGGCATGGACATCCCCTTGAAAGACCAGGCATGAGGTCCTTCCATCCTTATCTTCCCGGAACCCACCTCACATACTCCTTGCCTGCAGGAATCCAGTCCCCCAACTGTGTCCAGACTCTGGCCACTTGAGCAGGACTAGCCCCTCTGTAACCAGTTCCCACATGTTCCTCTGTAGAGCTGCACCCCATTGGAGGGATGAGCGCTCAGCAGGAAGGGGGCTCTCCTGACAACCACCTATCTGCACTGTCCAGCCCGATCCCACATGCCCCTGCCAAGTCACATACCTTGGATTTCCGGGCCCCTTTCTTGCCTCCAGCTTTCTTTGACACTGGCTTCTTCTGGGATGGAGACTTGGCCTTTTTGGCTGGGGGTGGCGTGATGATGGCTTCCAACTTCCCTTTGGATCCTCGTTTCTTTGCTAGCAACTCAGGGTGGATGTTGGGTAACACCCCACCACTGGCTATGGTGACTCCTTTTAGCAGCTTGCAGGAAAACCAAAGTAGCAGATGGTGAGCTAAACCAGCCTGCCCCTGACCTTCAAGAAGTCAGCCCTGCCCGTCTATGCTTTCCGTTTTGGTTGGTAGAGTTCCTCCCTCCATGGCATCTACAAGGATGCTGATAGGACTCAGCTCACTACACAGGGAACAAGTCCTCCGAGTCCCTCAGTGGGACGGGAGGGGGATTCATTTGAGAGCCAAATACCTTGTTTCATCCCTGCCCCCCAATCCCAATAAGGCCTTTAGGAAAAAACACCCAAGGTGGGCACGGAAGCTGCTAACAGTCTAAAATGCAGTCCATACCTTTGAAAGCCAGTAACATGCCAACCTCCCTCTGCACAGACAGTTCTATCTCTCAGGCAGCATGACTGGCTGCTCAGGTGTCTGGGGTAGGCTGGCTAGGAGAGCCCCGTACCTGATTTAGTTCTTCATCATTGGCCACGGCCAGGAGGATGTGCCGGGGTGTGACCCGTCCCTTCTTGTTGTCCCTGGCTGCATTGCCAGCCAGCTCCAGAATCTCCGCTGTAAGGAACAGAGAGGAAGAGCATATGGTTGTGTTAGAGCAGTGGTCGGTAAACTCATTAGTCAACAGAGCCAAATATCAACAGTACAATGATTGAAATTTCTTTTGAGACCCAGATTTTTAAAACTTAAACTTCTTCTAACACCACTTCTTCAAAATAGACTTGCCCAGGCCGTGGTATTTTGTGGAAGAGCCACCCTCAAGGGGCCAAAGAGCCACAGTTTGCCAACCACGGCGTTAGAGCATCAGAGGCTCACATGCATCCTCCTTACCCCCACTCATGGAGCTGGGAATGGACACAGGTATCAGTTCACAAAGCAGCTACCCTGAGGTGGGAAGCACACTTTGAGCTAAGTCACAGGGGTTGATGAGGTGAAGACAGAGGCTTACAGAGGAGAAGGGACTGGTCAAAGGTCATCAGTAAGAAGTGGTAGAGCTCAGATCTGAACTTATTTGCCAGAACAGAGCTGATGTCACCACGACCAACCCTGATAAGTCAATAGTGTGGTCCCTAAAAGTGAACCGCATGAGTTTAGGGGCTTCAGGAGGCGGTAGCATTTTACAGTAAGTCTGTCAGTGGAGTTGATGTTGACCGCCTGCACACTCAGATTCAAAACTGGAAGATGACTGGACTCTTTACATAAAGTCAATGTCAAAAATACTGTCAAACCTTGGTTCTCAAATGTCTCCCATCTTGAACAATTCAGTTCTTGACCAAGTTGTTCAAAAAAAAAGGAAAGAGGAAACAAGGTCTCTGTTGTCAAACCAAACTTCAGTTTTCCACCTGATAAACCTTTCATGCTGATACCTCAGCATGACAAAAAGTGTCTCTCAGTCAACAAACTAAGGAGAAAATGCTTTCATTGCTGGTGAAATCAATGCTTAGCACAACTTTAAAAAAGAGGCCATCAAGAGTGCTAATTGCCAGCCCTAGCTGGTTTTGCTCAGTGGTTAGAGCATCAATCTGTGGGATGAAGGGTCCCAGGTTTGATTCTGGTCAAGGACACATGCCTGGGTTGTGGTCTCAATCCCTGGTAAGGGGTGTGCAGGAGGCAGCCAATCAATGATTTCCTCTCATCACTGATGTTTCTCTCTCTCCCTCTCCCCTTCCTCTCTGAAATCAATAAATATGTGTGTGTGTGTGTGTGTGTGTGTGTGTGTATATATATATATATATATATATATATATATATATATAATTTTTTTTTTTTTTAAAGAGAGTGCTAATGCCTAGCGCAGATGGACCTATCTTGGCTAAATTGAGAAGAGAGCTTGGTAAGCCTAAATGACCTTAGGCCTCAGGTGCCATGAATGCACAACTGCCTTCCTGGCCAACCCAGCTTGCCCTTTGTTCTCCCATGTTCCTGGAGGAGGTGGCACATCTACATGCTATCGCCCTGACTACGGCCTGGGACGGAGCCAAAGCAGGAGTCTGACCTGAGCAGACCCTAAGAGTAAGGGCACAGGAAGGAGAGCTTGTTGCTGGGCTGGAGCCTGTGCAGCAGGAGGGCCGTAGAGGGGCAGCTGCAACATGGAGCTACAGCCCACGTGGCTGGCTTCCTGGCCTCCATCCCTTCCTCTCCCCAGCCTGCCCCCACTTTCCAAGGCCACAGGGAAGCCCAGGCCATCATCAGTGTCTGCAGATCCAGAATATACAGGAGGCAGGTGGATTACCACCTTTTCCCCATAATGTGCTAAGAAGTCTAGAGCAAAGAGGGGCAAGAGAGAGAGAGACAGAGACAGATAGAGATAGTCAACTCACAGTGGTGCCCTAAGCCCATCCCTTTGGCAAGAAGATCGTTTGAAATTGCGGTTTCTCAGGAAAGTGGAGGGGGCCTGGTTCCTCTTCCTGCCTGGATGTTAGTGAAAGGTCTCCCTAAGAGAAGGCACAGAGGCCGTTGGTGGGGCAGGAGGGGGGAGGGGGGATGTGGTCTTTTTATTTTTGGCAGTGCTGCTCTCTTGGTGCAGGGAAGATGGAGGTGATGAATGCAAAGCCCTGAGGGTGGGAAGGGGTGATGTGGGTAGGGGACAGGCAGTATATAACAGAGAAATAAAGCAATGGAATGACTTATAAGTAGCACCCATGGCTGAGAAATTTGAAGATCAATTCTCCAGGAATTCCTCTTGACTTCCATGAGCTTTTTCCCCCAGGAACTCTCACACTGTGAATGAAACTTCCAATGGCCTAAGCTTCTACACTTGGGAAATTGCAAGGACTGGGCTCACTTACATCTAATTAAGCAATGGATTCTGTGAGGACAGACTAGATCCACCTGAGAGTGACAATGAGGTGGAGTGGAGGGCCGGGGAGAGGTGTGTGCATGGGGAGTGTTTGGGCTCCTTAGAAAGAGCTGGGCAGGGTGTCATTCTGTTGCCTTCTTCACCAAGGAACCAGAATATCCAGGACTCCATCCTTTTTGCAAAACTCTAGCTCACCTTTGAACTCAGCCCTGTGGGGCGGGAGGGAAGCTGTATCAAGTGGGGACAACAAAGAGGGGCAGAAATCCACACCCCAGCTAGAATTGAGCAAAAGCCTTATCTGCCATTCACTCCTGCCTGTTTGCCAGAGGAACAGTTACCATAGTAACCCCTTCATCAAGGGACACAAAAAACAGAGCACCTGGGACACACACCTTTTATGAGAAGTGGGTGCCCTGCCCCACCCCTACACTGCAGTTCACAGAGGGCTGGGCATTTTACAACAGCCAAGGAAGAAGGGGGAGAAATCTGATAACAAAAGTAGGAATCCAGTGCACATATTCCCCTGGCCAAGTATTCAGTAAACCCGTCCTTTGTCCTCAGTCTGACTGTAGAAGCCCAATCACAAAGGGCTTTCCTGGCTAAGAGAAGCTGCCTGCTGCAGGGGAGAGGAGGTCTAAAATGACAACTGGACAAGATGGAACAGGTCCTCCAGGGCATGTTTGGGAAGGAGAGGGTGCCCGCTGCTGAGGAATTGGGGCAAGGTGTGAACCACCAGGAGGTTTCCTGATTAGGTTTCCTTCCTAGTAAGTGACCTGGGCTTTGCATATGATAGAAAAGCTAAATTATGGAAGTCCAGCTCAGCTAGGCATGGATTCCTGCCACTGCACCCTGAGCCACGGGGATGCCTGCCCCTACACATACTGGCTGCCTCCTCCGGGGTGAGGGCAGAGCCAGCATCAGGGGAGGGTTTCCTGCCCTTGATGCAGCCTGTGGTTTGGAAGGTTCTGGGAAATTCTAAAAAAAAAAAAAAAATTCTGCTGGTTCAAGAAAGAGAACCAAGAGAACACCAGATCTACAGATGCAAATCCTTTTCTCCAATTACCAGAGCTCAGTGCTTGCACCCTCTCTTGGAGGTAGTTTCAGGAGCCACAGCTCTGGGGGCTGTAACCACAACAAATGGAATCCATAAGAAACCCGGGAGGAAACTGGAAGGAGCAGTTAGGAGAAGAAACAGTCCTCCCCTTACCAGGTTCTCCACCCCTCAAGTCAAGTCTTCCTGCCAGTGACAGTTTCATTTGTTTACCACTGACCAACTCTAGTTTGGGGCCCAAAGCACTTGTGGTCAACTCTGGAGATAGCCCTAAGTGTGGTAAGGCTCCCTAACTATAAACACTACGAAGGGGACATCCTGAATGAACATCATAAGCCAGCTCATGTGTTATTTTTAAAACATATTTTGTTTATTTGTTTGAAAATCTAGTTTTAAGACACCCCAGCAGCACTGCTCCCACTCTACAGCCTTTGTGTTGCCTGGACCATATCCTCTCCTCAGAGCAGCAAGCAATGCAAAGGCACCTTTGGGCCCAACTTTCCCCAGCCTCACTGAGCACGATCATTTTAAGGCCACTTGACAAAATTCTCACAGCCTTGAATAACAGAATTATCTGGCAGCCTTTCCAGCTACAGACCAGCTGTCTGAACATGAATACCTTTGACAGGTCTACTTTCTAAGTTCACCCAGAGACCAAAGGCTTAGAGTCTTTTTTTTCCCCCCCTACAAACATCTTGAACTGAACCATATCTGCTGGATTGAAGCATTCTGTCTATCTTTCTTTAGGGAGATGACATCATGGTTTGCAGAATTAGACTCCTAACAGCTAACAGGTGATGTGTGGGGGCTGCGCCAAACTCTAAACACAAGCCTTGCAAAGCAGAGAGTTAGGGGCTTCTACAGAGCAGTTTGAAGCAACTCCTCTAACAAAAGAAATATTGAGAACAACAACTAGAAATCAAAGAAAAGCCAATGTTCACGTAATCCCAAGGAGAAAACAGATATTTGCTACAAAGCCAACCACATGACAAAGGAATCTGTTTATTGTCATTTCTTCCCAGTCACCAGGCTTCCATCAGCAGTTCGCTGAGTTCAGCACTGTTTTATTCCATCCCTGAAGGCCTTAACCCATCAACCCCAATTGGAGAGTGCTGCTTAGGGTTTCCTGCACCCTAACTGCACCAGTTTCCTCCAATTCCCTCCACGGCCCAGAGTCCACTGGCTTACATCCCGCCTTTTCAGGAGGTGAGTGGCAGAGTCTGAAACCTGCTGAGCCATCGACCCAGAGCTCCAGGGCCTCCCTTGTGACCAGAGCAAAGCTCTCCAGATCTGCCTATCCCAGGAGCCTCAAAAGGAACCAGGGATTCCACAGAGAAAAATAAAGACTACAGCAGTAATTGAAGGTGGTATTTTCTGTGCAGAGTATAAGTTATTTTATAAGAATGAGTCATTCTGTTGCTTTTCTGCAGATGTTCCAAATCTGACACAAACTTGTCCTGCTGTTAAGCCCATGTCACAGGCCTCTCATAGGGCCAGGGAGTCTAAGGGTCCAGGTGGCAGCATCTGTCCAGTCTCTAACCTTCCCCACAAATTTTCCCAATAAGGCAGAAACACATTGCGGAGTTTCTAAAGTCAGCTAATTGTTTTTCATATTTCAAAGTAAAAAAAAAAAATGCATTATACACATTAACAAAGAGATAATATGATTCTTGGCAAACGTTACCTTCTTCTAAGCCACCAACACAG